GAGGAGGAGGAGGAGGAGGAGGAGGAGAGAGCACCAGGAGGAGGAGGACGAGCAAGACGAGGAGGACGAGAACGAGGACGAGCAGGAGGAAGAGGAGGAGGAGGAGGAGGAGGAGGAAGAGGAGCAGGAGAAAGAGGAGGAGGAGGAGGCAGGCTGAGGCTGAGGCTGTGACTGCGACTGCCGTTGCCGCTGCGACTGTCATCGCGAATGCGACTACGACTGCGAGAACAGCAGAATTCGACAACTGGATTTTCATATGAATCTTAAGGGGAATGCTTTCAGATATGCTTCTACACATCGCTGTTAGGTTGCTTTGCCGGGATAATTTTTTTTGTGTGTCCCAGGGCCCCTTCAAGGTTGTCCATCCCCTGACCTTCCAGGAGGGCTTCAGGAGGTGAAAAAACAATTAATCGTCGATGCCTTAGGAAGGCTTCAGGAGGGGAAAACACACACAGACACAATTGATCGTCGGTCCCCGGGGAAAAATGGGAAAAGATGGGGAATCCTGTTATTTGTGTGTATTTATTTAATCGCTTCGCTCATTCCGCCGGCCCTCGAGCGCTCTATGGGGCCTCTTTGAAGCCTCTTGGGGGCCTCTTTGGGGCCTCCTAGGGGCCTCTTGGGGGCCTCTTGGGGGCCTCTTGGGGCTCCTTGGCGGCGTCTTGGGGCCCCCTTGGGCCTCTTGGGGGGCTCTTGGGGAATCCTGTTATGTTTGTGTGTGTGTGTGTGTGTATTGATTTGTGTGCCCCAGGGCCCCTTCAAGGTTGCCCACCCTCATCATGCGGGTGGATCGGCGGCGAGCCCGGGGGCAGCGAGAACGGGCGGCCCGGGGCCCAGGAGAGGCGGGGTTGGACAGACCTCCTACCCTGACACGTCGATTAAGGAATTGGCCGTTTTCGGTTCGCGAGAGGCATCCCCGAGGCTGCAGAGAGCCGCAGAGGAGCGGCGAGGCCGCTCAGAAACCTTAGACCCTCGAGCCTCGAATCCTCGGTCCTCCCTTCAACTTATCGGGGGGGGGGCAGACCTCCTACCCTGACAC